GTATTTGCGTATGTAATAATATATATTATAATGTAAGCCCCAATGCTATTTATGTGGACCCCCTATGTATTGGTAGTCGTAAAGACCTACATTTATGTGTTTCCGTAACATATATAAGTAACCAAGTGAATATTTACAAGGGTGGTTCAAATATAAATGAGACTTTTCGTTTTTACGGAAGAGAAATTAAGTTTGGAAGGTATAACTGGGGATTAAAAAACTCACTATCTAGCTATTAACTACAACTGCCTCTATTGCCTAGCACAGTCATAGTTGCAAAAAACACGTTTTTGGTTTATTTTATATGATGAGCGAAAAAGAAGTTCCAAACGCGATTGCGCAACGTATTGTTATCCGTTTTTTGACAAAAGAAAATGTTAAACCTGCCGAAATTTTTCATCGACTTCACGAACAGTTCACCAAAGAGTATCTTTCTGAGGCCCAGGTGCTTAAATGATGTTCGGCGTTTAAAAATAGTCGCGATCGAATCGAGAATGAAACGCATCCGCACCAGCCGCGAAGCAATGTCACGGATGAAAACGTGAATATTTTCGTACTTTTTTGCATAATAGTTTTAAGATCGAAAAAAGGGATCCATTTATTGAAGTTTTAGCTTGAGCATTCAAGGAAATCGACGGGTTTCAATAAAAACGACATAGCAGCAATCATTGCAATTCATTTCTAAAATCACCAGGTGAAACGGAAAGCAAAATTTGCAACGACAAGGCTGAAAAAATTTAATGTATACAATTCACATACTATTATACATACTACATAGGATATTCAATAATGACTATAAAGTGGTTGAAAAAGTTTATAGTTTACAGTTTAGTGCCCATCGTGTCGTTTCATCATACCAATAAAAACGATATAAAATCGGACATTCTTTACGCGTTTAGAGCATCGTCGGGTACAAGCCACTCGATTTAAATACGTGAAATGCCACGTTGGGCGTGTTACATTAAATCAAATGTATCGCGTTTGAAAAACTATTTCGAACGGAACTTGGTTTACTAGAGCGTACCACATTATATATTTATGAGTTGTCTCAAACATTATAAGTACTTGTAAAAATTGATTATCACTAACGACGTTCAAGACTTGGAAATATCTTTAAATCGCTGCCTTCCATACGACTGGCCCGAAATTGATACTCCGTGTACCTGAGGTGATAAAATATACGAAATAATATCCGTGTTGCATTTGAAAACCATGAAATCTTGCGAACGTAAGGGTGCGAGCAAATACTAGATGGGGAGAATTGGAATCGTTTTGCGCAGCCGATTTCGATTCGAATCGATACAATATACTCGTAATAATAACACGAGAAACATGTATAGCATGTCAACAATCACTGTAATATTATTTTTGTCCTATGTCCTTGTACTCAAAAGTGTATATACATGAATTCAACGTCAGACAAAATACAATCAACGAGGATTAATAGCCGTCCAAAATAAAGACAGCACAAAATGAGCAAATTTCTTATCAGCAGTGTGTCGGTTTTAAGGGAGGACAAATGGGACATTTATCCAGGGCCCTGCGATCTTTAATTATCATCTTAATACTGTAAGACACATTGACATTTTATATAGGTAAATTATAAATCTATATTATGCACATTACCAGTTATTTGGAAAATGATATCTAAATTTATTAACCATAATACTAACTAGAAAGTAAATCGTCATCGATACGACGAAAGCGTAATAAAAATTAAATTTAAACTTTGGAAAAATAGTCAAATCTTCATCTTTGCTAAATTCAAAAGATTTTCTCAATTTAGACTTTAACATATTTACTTCATTGCATATTTTTACCCTTTCAGGCAGGGTTTTGCATCCAAATTAACCCGAACCCGTAACACCTCTAAAAACCCTTAAAAAATTAAACATCCAAAACCCATATAACCCGTGTTAACCCGAATGATTTTATTTTTAATATTTCCGAATTAACTAAAACCCAAATATTGGTTTTAACCCCTAACCCGAATAATTTTTTATTTTACAATCATTATATGACATATTATTTTGTATGTATTTTTTGTGGTTATTTAAATTTTGTCATTAGTTGTTTAATAGTAAAATTATTATTTACAGAAATAATTTCACATATACAAGATTATTCATTTATCTAAATTTATCTTATAAAGACAATAGCAATATATCATATTGACAAGTGTGCGTGAATGGTATGGTATGTTGATTGTTCAAATGTAAACAACTGGGATACTATTTTTAATATTATCCCAAGCGGATACGTCGTATTATTATAATTTAATAGGAAATGGTTATTGTAGTTACTTCTACGAATCATAAAATGGTTATTTATTGCAATACTGTAAATCTGAAATAGAATTGATGTCTCGCGTATGATTACCAAAATAATTAAGGTTAATTTAAATAATTACCTAAAAAATTATTGTTGTTCTCATTATTCGTATTTGTTCAGTGTATGACATGTAGTACATATGTCTATAGCGTATAATTTTCAATTTTTGTTGGTGTAATGATTATATACACTAGATACTAGATACTATTAATATTTTCACTTAATTAAAATCCATAGTTTCATTCAAAGCTTTATTGTCAAAAGTATTGGAAAAAATTAGTTTAAATCCGACTTTGTTTATTCCTTAATTGTATAACACAATATTGATTTCTTATTTATCTTCACTATTATTTTATCTCCCCGTCATTTACCCATTATTGTTAATTAATCCACTCATTAACTTTATTAATATTTGTAAAATTAGATAATTGTGAAATTTATTGTAATTGTCGAATTATAATGGTTATGCTGAAAGCTCTAAAAAAAAAAAAAAATTATAATAGAAACACACTTAGCAAACTACTGTTACGAACATACATAATGAAGGTCCTTGCAACTATATTACATGGGAGCATCACTTAATTGAGTAATTAATATATATATATATATATATATATACGAGTATGAATGACATGAGGGCATATCGTCTTTAATGCAGAAGTGTAAAAGCTAGTTAAGTAATAGGAACAAATTATGAACATACGATTGTAGACATATGTTAAAATCCAAATTGACAAGGCTAACCTGTCAATTGGAAGATTACTTAAAAACTCAAACCCAGTCCGAGTCAAGATATTAATCTATTGGGAAAGTCACAATACCATACAGACAGATTCCCACAGAATCTGAGTACATAAGGAGGTTTGAATAGACCAATATTTAGAAGTGTTTTAGTCCGACTCTAGCAAACACCTTCACGCCAGTTTAATTGGCAATTTAATTAAATACTTGTTTTTAAGGCGGGTTTACATGAGGCAAGTAATTAGGCAAGTCAAGTTGCTCAGCTACTTACTACGAACAAGTTTCCTTGTGTGAACACTAACTTGCTTTTACAATTTTAGCAAGTAAAGTTGTGTGGCAAGTTGCTGAGCAAGGCAAATTTAATGGCCCGCGTTTTATTTTTCAGGCCACTTGCCTTCCCCTATCATAGGTCTGTTATTAAATATTATCATATTATCATAATACCTGTGATATTATCACAAATTCCCAATGAAAATTTTTAAATTTACCGATTTAATCATTAAATGTTTACTTTAATTGTTTGTAATAAAGTGTTTTTGTAAAACTAAAATAATGGTATCAAAGTGGTCTGCTAACACAAATTGTAAATTTGTGGAACTGTATAAACTAAATGAATGCCTCTGGAACATAACAATTCCAATGTATAAAAATAAATAAGCACGATTTAGTCCCATACTACAAATAGTTAATGAAATGGGTATAAAAGATATGGATTCTAGTTCAGTTATAAAAAAAAAAGCCTACGTACTACTTATCAACAAGAGCAAGCAAAGAGCAATGGTGAACCACCATTTATATTCCTTTTTGACATCCAATTTCTAATCCAAATTTTTTTCGGTTCGTCTTTAAATTCATTCTCAATAATTTCCAAGAGTTGAAATATTAATAATTAAGATACATCTTTTGTTATGAATTTTATGGTGTGATGTTTAATAAGACTCATGATTTAAAAATTAATATAATATAATATGTATAATTAAATTATTCATACAAAAACAAAAGAATTGACAGAAATACCAAAAAAATATCTAACTTTAAGATACCAACAATAAATTAATATAAAAATATTTACTTTAATTATTGTAACATAAAATTATATTATAAAATAAAAATAAATTATCTAACTTGCTTAAAAACACAAAATTGGTGTGAACAATACCTGTAGTTTTATTTGCAAGTAGCAAGTAGAATTTAAGTAGCTTGGCAAATTGACTTGCCTAATTACTTGCCTCGAGTAAACCCGCCTTTAGAAATATTTCAATAAACAGTTTAACTTGATTTGAGTACTTTTATTGGAATTACCTTAACAAAAATCCTCATATGAATTGTTGAATTGACTACACGCAACACTACCTACGTACAAATTTATAAAAACGATCACATATAATTAAATGACCTATACTATTCTTAAATGCTATAGGAATGTCAAAAATTATTTCTAACACGTCGAAAGACATAGGGACATAACCGTGGGAAAATTGACATTTCATTTCGTTGCATTCCAAGGGGACGGGATAATAATTCGGCAGGTCTGGAATGATAACGTATGGGTATAATACCAGAGTATCAACAGTTCTGTACCGCGGCGGACTAGACGACCTGATCAGTAGATTTGAAACGCCGTTTCAAAACCGACGGGAAATGGGGGAGGGGCTAATTACCGAAAATATTGTGCAACAGATGTGTTGTGTCGCCCGATGGACAACCGAACGACATACTACAGCGGGTGAAGTTTAATCGTTCGTGAACACGTGAAAAAGAGTGTTTTGACGCACACCGTGATGCGTTACTGGGGAATGAGGATTTACGTACGTATTTACGTGTTTGTCATGAACGATGGTGGGTCGCGTGACCGAAACAAACACTGGGTTGATTAGAAAAAACGGTTTTAATAACACGAACATTGGTGATTACAAATCCGGAACGCGTCATCTGCGGTAGGCGAACACGGCGTCGATGACGAACACGATGCCGTTGGCGATGGACAGCATGGATTTGACCAGGCCGGTGTCGGAGAACGTCGAGCTGGCCACGCCGTTGAAGTAGTTGTACGATATCAGCCCGGCCCACAAGTATAACGCGGCACCGGCCACGGTGAATATCAAGTCCACCGGGATGCTGACGGGCGCGTCAGTGAACAACCCGAACACCACGGCCGCCAGGATGATCACGAAGCCGACGTACGTGCCGGTGGTTAACATGGAGTTGAACACCGTCATAAACACCGCGAAGCTCTCGTAGTGCAACGCGAATATGAACACGGCCATGCCGAGCTCCACGCACTTGATCGTTTTGTTCGACACCATCTTCTTTCTGTTGTTCTTATTAGCCGCTTCTCGGTGGACGAAACGAAAACTTCTGGAACGCTGCAAACGCGATTATAATAATAAGCTAGTGGCGAACGGTAAACAGATGCGGAAAGTAATGAAAGTAGTGAAATAGTAGCGAGTTGTTGACACGTGTGTATCCGCGCGACTGCGGACACGGTTGTAATCGATTGTTGTCCCGTCCGAGGAGATCGACACGGCAAATCTCGGAGATCTCTCGCCACCGTGTCTCGTCTCGGGCTCCGGGTGTATGATATAACACTGAAAAAATCAGTACGCGGAGCTACAGCCGTATGAAATACATTGCTTATCGTGGACTCGACGCTAGGGACCATTTTCCCGCAATAAGCGGCTGGCCATTACACTTGGTTCAAAAACAACATTTTTTAATACCGAAAAGTTTTTATTTTGCACACGTGATTCGTAAAATCGGATAAAAAATAAATGTTTAAATTAATTGATGAATACAACATTCAAAATAATGATGAATTATATAATATTAATAATATATAATATAATTATATAATAATTATATTATATATAATATAAATATCGGGATGCATAATTTGTCACCGATTTCACGTTGTTAAGCGCCTGAAGAAAGAGACTTCTGCGCTTTGTCCGAAATCGCGATTTTTTCATTGAACGATGATTCACATTGAAGCGACACTTGCAAACCGGCACCGGACCCCGCGCGGACCCGTACCGAACCAACATTTTAGGGAGTATTCACATTATACCGTTTTGCACTTACTGGCACAGACCATTATAAATGAATCGAAAGTAATTTCTACATACAGTCACAAGTGACTACACGCAGTGCAACGAATCCTGTGACGCGTAATTTTTATTTTAAAACCATATTTAAGCCCTTGTCCACCAAACATTTAGCCATGATGGCGATAGGTTTAGACGAAGAAGAACAAAACCAAACAAAAATTAAAAAAAAACGTATTTGGATGCATGACATTTTAAAAAGGAGAAAAATAGTGGGCGAATTTCATAGTTTATATGCAATCTTGAAGATCACGAAGAAAATATGTTAGTAGTGTTCAATAATATTCTATTTTGGAAAATAACGTCGTTATTGCGTTCACATACAACCGACATCAACTGTTCCCTCGCAAACGACATGGACACGGATTGTGGTCGAGTTAGGGAAAGAAAGCTACAAATTTATCGCTTTTTTTTGTATTCAATTTAACTCACCGCAACAAGCCCGTGGGTCAGAATTTTCCAAGAGAGGGGTTAAAAATCATAAAAGTTATTTTAGGTAAAAAGTCAATAAAAATTCACATGATCAAAAATATCAGGATCGAACATCAATAAATGTCAACAAATATCTGAACAGCTTGAACAGTTGCATTTATAACGATAATCTTCAGTAGGTGGAAAATTCCCAATAATTAAATAGAAAATGGCGTAAAATCGAAAAAATGTGTACTGGTAAAACAAAAATAAACAACTAGAGATGAATTTTTAAGTCAGTTTAATTTTTATAGAACGATGACTAGGTATTCTTAATAAAAATGTAGGTAAAAAAATCCTCAACGATGTATAGAATTCCCTGCGCACAGGCCTGCACAACAATATCCCATTAAGGTTTAAAAGATAATGATTCTTATTACTTTTGATAAGCAATCTTATAGATACGACAAAATCCAATAATACTAGTTATAAATGCATATCATAATGCTATGAAAAAATAAATATTGTCCAGATAAACCTCATACAATACTCATTTCAATTGGGGTTTAATAAACAGTTCATATTGCACTTTACTCGATTGTGGTGGAGCTCACTTCGAATTTCAACTTCTACTGCCCATATCTATACAGTCAAAGAAATCGTTTTAAGAAATCGTTTCATCAACTCTTGGTCTCAACTTCAATTATAATCAACCCGAATCTCAATTTCATAATACATTTTTATCAATTGCTTTTTTTTTTTGTTAATATTTTATAATAAATGTCGTGACCAGAGTTGGAAAAAACATGTTTTAAAAAAAAAAACCAAAAAAACATATTTTTATTGTTTAAAACACGGTTTTTCTGTTTTCAACAAATGTATATATGATGTTTTTTTGTAATGTTTTTAAACAGCAATAAATAATTAAAAATATATTTAATACTTGAAGTCGAAAAAAATCAATGTAGGTAATTGAAAATTTAGGTAGTCATGAGAATGGGACTGCATGTAATACTACAATACAACTGCTAAAAAGTATTTTATGAAATTAAATAAAATAAGTATAACATTAGATAAAGTTCAGACAGATGGATTTACTTTCAGTGAAACAACTCATTTATGGTAAGAACTAAACTAATTTTTTGAAATTTAAGTTTGAACTTGATTCAATGACTGAAAAAATCTAAAAAAGAGATTTGATATGGCAGTGACAGAATACCATTTATTAGTTATATTTTGGACCCTAAATGTAGGAATAAATATATAGACGAAAAAACATTAATTCTGATCAAATGGATTCCACTTTAAATTTTATAAATTCATATCACCAAAAAAATTATGCCAGAAATAATAACATATCAAGCTGAAGCATATTCTTTTAGAGTCTTCTTTTTAAATAACATTTATCATTAAAAAAAAAATAAATATTTCTTCAGAAATGTTATCACTAGTTACAAAATTATTTATTGCTATTGCTTCTTCAGCTGGAGTTGAATTATATATATATATATATATATATATATATATATCAAATATGTGTATGTATATAAAATTAAAAATTGTCAAAATAAGTTTTCATTTTTAAATCACTGAACAACGATTCTATTTTTGTTAAATAAGTATGTTATTTACATACCTATATTAAAGTTTATATCAATTTTAATTTTTTTAATTTAGTAAAAAGTTTTTTATATAATTTTCAAAGATTGAAAACTGAAAAGTAATAATTTATGTTATTTACTAAATAGTTAATTTTTAATTTAGTTTTTTTTATTTACAAATTTTTACAATAAAGTTAATTATTTTAAAGTTTAAACTTTTTCCTTTTCTACTCGAAATTTCTTAAGAAAATAAACATCATGTTGTTTCACTGATTGCATAAAATCATAAAATATAAATTAATTCGAATTTCAAATTACGAATATAATATATGATCCGAATAATATATACATTTTTAAGAAAATTAAAATTATGCTATAATTTTTTTTTTTTTTAAACACTTGATGTTTTTAACAAAACAACTCTGGTCGTGACACAATGATTTAAGGTTTAATCTCAAATGGAAAAGAAACTCACAAAAAAACGGTTTTATTACTCTTACAACTTCATTTGTTTATTATTAATGACTTATTTTGTCATCGAATATTAACTTATACATGTCCCTAATAAGCGGCTTCTACTGTATATATGTACGAGGTCTGTTCAAAAAGTACCAGGACAAATGTTATTGCGGTTAATCTATACATGATAACGTTTTAAATTATAAATAGATATATTCCCAACGTATTAGATAATATTTTGAACAAAACCCGAAGTCGCTATCTTATCTCAGTTTAATATTATACGTGGTTAAATCTAGTCAGTTTGTTTCGATCTCCGTTTTCGTCATGTCCGAAATTAACGAACAACGTGTGTTCATCCAGTTTCGCTTGAAACTTGGTAAAAATGCAACTGAAACGTACACAATGATTAAAACTGCTTTTTGGAACGATTCTTTAAGTCGCTCCGTTATTTTCGAGTGGTTTAAACGTTTCAAGGATGGTCGACAGTCAACTGAAGATGATCCACGTTCTGGAAGACCGTCGACATCCAGAAACGATGATGTTGTGGCGAACATTTACGAAAAAGTGCGAAATGACCGCAGATTAACTGTTCGTGAGTTAGCAAATGAGGCAGGAATCTCAATTGGATCTTGTCATGAAATTTTAACAGAAAATTTACAAATGAGAAGGGTAGCTGCTAAATTCGTTCCGCGGTTGTTGACATCAGAACAAAAGGAAAATCGTTTAACGATTTGTAAAGACCTTAAAAATCGATCTGCTGATATTAATTTCATTAAAAACATCATCACAGGGGATGAGACATGGATTTATGGGTACGATCCAGAAACAAAGTTACAGTCATCTCAGTGGAAAACAAAATTTTCCCCTCAACCAAAAAAACTCGCCAAGTGAGATCGAATGTCAAGACAATGCTGATTGTTTTTTTTGATATTGAAGGTATTGTTTATTATGAATTTGTGCCCCATGGACAAACAGTCAATCAGGTATTCTATAAAGATGTATTAATACGTTTGCGAGAGAGAATCCGCAAAAAGCGCCCAGAAAAATGGCGAAGTGGAACCTGGTTTCTTCATCACGACAATGCGCCAGCACATTCAGCGTTGTCAATTCGTGAATTTTTGGCTGAAAAAAAAATACCTGTGGTACCGCACCCTCCCTATTCTCCTGATCTAGCCCCATGCGATTTTTTTCTTCCGAGATTAAAATCTGCGCTTAAAGGACAACGATTTCAAGATGTAGAGGAAATTAAAGCGAATACGGCAACAGAACTCAAAGCTATAACTTTAGAACAGTTCCAAAGGACTTTCGAAAAATGGCAAGATCGCTGGAACCACTGCACATCGTCTGGAGGAGAGTATTTTGAAGGCGATGTCTTTAAATAATATGTAACTTCATTTTTGTAATTATTAAAAATAAAATCCTGGTACTTTTTGAACAGACCTCGTATATAATATATACTATATATGTAAAGGGAAATATGGGATACTTGGCAATGCACATATTGCTCAATCAATTTTTTCCTGCCCGGGCATTTTGAACGTCGAATAGAAATATTAATTAACTTATTATTATAACTGTATAATATTTCTTACTCACTTTTTATATTCTTCTATCTTATATCTATTGTTTTTCCATATCAGATTTATAAAAGTAATTTAGCTGTGTCGAAACAATCATACAACAATATATGAACATTAATTACAATACAATGTACTCGACCGACCAGTC